TAAAACTTTACCAATTAATAAAATACATTTTCTAAACCAACTGCTTTAAAGGTAGGCGAGGTTGATTTTGGTAATTGGCTCATAGTGGTCTCCTGGGTCCCTATCACTTCACTAACCACTTTTTTAACGCTTCTTGAACAGAGAGCTTTTAAGACTAACTAGTGTCAGATATTTTGTTTTAATTTAACAGAAATGAAAGAAGCAAATCAGATTTTAAAAAATAATAATCATACAGTTCCAAAGTAATTGAATTATAAACTGGACAAAGTGTTTGAGTTACATTAATGTGAAGTACTTTGAAACCATTCCTTCAACTCACAACAGAGGTAGTGATATAAACCATGGATCTTAACATGGATGCAACAGTCATTTCTAAGGTTCTTCTCACCCTGATGCTTCCATTCCTTATACCGTCACCTGCCCATGACCTTTTCTTTCAACACAAGAGAAATACCTGGAATGCCAATGTTCAAAGCTATGGTCACTCAAACAATACAAAACATGGAAATGCCTCTTGATCTTGTCCACCCCCCCGCCAAAAAAATCCAAGGCACACACCTGAGATGAATCCATAGCATTCAATAGCACAATAATGTTGTGTTTAGCCTCTAATAGAAATATTGGAGGATTTTCTATGAAAATGGTGTGTTTCATTTTTTTCACTAAGCAGAGTTACAGAGATGTAAATATTTATTCCATGAACAAAGATAGATCTATCGCTTTCCTTTTTAAATATTTATCAGTGACATGAAATGTAATACTTATTTTAGCCTAATTTCGTAAAATAAATATGCAATTATATTTAGTACCATTTCACTGAGCCTCACACATCATTTTAAGTCAAGTTTTTTATAACAGGAATATGGAACATAATATAGTTTTCTAATTACCTGATCTTCCTAGAGATAGTAAGTTTAATTAATATACAAATATTGACACAATTTCGAATATTCAAGACACTGTTTACATGACCCAGCCATTTTAATACTTTGTTTTACAGCAGGTGAATAATGCCAGGTAAGAATGTCAGCTCCATCAGATGTGCAGACAGTATTTGTCTCTCCATAAATCCAGTCAAGCCACTGATGGGACAACCACAGAATATTCTTCAGGAACTCAATTGTGGAGAAAGCTGTTGCATTTACCATATCCTACATTGAAAAACGTTGGATAATTTTTATTAAGGCGAGTGCAAGTCTTAAATGTTATATTTTTAGCTTTCAAATTTCTAGTCAGCCTACAACAAAGTAGAAATGAATAGTAGCAAGAACATATATTTCAGATATTCTAAAGGGTTAAAAATGTCACCTCTCATGCCAACTTTCCTATTCTTTCTTCTTTATAAATGAAACTTTCTCTTTGGTTTCTTGTATCTTTTCAGTTATCCTCTCTTTTGTTTCTTCCATTTTCTCAGTTAATTTTTCTTTTGTTTCTTCCATTTTCTCAGTTAATTTTTCTTTTGTTTCTTCCATTTTGCCACTAATCATGTCTCTTGTTTCCTCCATTTTTCCTGAGAGTCGCTCTTTTGTTTCTTCCATTCGGTCCTGAATATATTCCTTCACAGGTGGTGGTGTGGACATATACCCATGCTTGCGAAGATACTTCACGGTGATGGACGTTCCTCCTAACGTCACTGTGTATCGGGCTGGAGTTGCAATCTTGCCAATAAAAATAAAAGGGTGTGTGTATAGGTATATGAAAACATTAAGGACTTAAATGACTTTAAAAATGAAGAAAAGGCATTCTACTGACCAAGTGATAGCATTCTCAGGCTTGGCTTTAGCTGCAGCTCTTTAGATAATGACTGCGCTCATGAAGTTAAAGTACTAACACAACCCTAGCAAGGAAGCTGTCCATACTATCCGGGGCATTTCTTCAAGAGACAGCTATAGGTCTATGCCACTTTGATAAGTCACTCAGTCCCTACAAGAACAAGCTGCTCCCTACTGCAGTGTCTATGCCTCCCAAAATCTGCTCTGAAGTGTGGAGTGCATCAACTGCAGAATATTGTAAGGGAACAGGTCACTTCTGAAGAAGGAAGGGAAAACAGGATGCAGTCTCATGGGCTGCCTGAATTACTTTACTGCTCTTAAAGTTTTGATAGCTGAGTTGTGCAGTTTCATTGGAATATAGATAAAAATAAAATGTAGCCACTGAAAGATAATTAATTTTCTGTGGAGATGCAATGAAAACTTTGTCTAGAAGTGATTCCTGAAGACTGGATGAAAACTTTCAAAATATTCAAAGAAGGAAGAAAACATTATCCCTGTATGAATTAAATGTGATCTTTATGCAGTTTTGATTGTCCTTTCCAATTTTGTACCCTGTGTGCTCCTTCATTCTTTCCTCCTACCCAAATAATTATTTCAGTTTTGAGTTCTACATAATGACATATCATGAGGAATTAAGTGGAGGACATAAACAAACTCCTTGGTTGATGGTTTGGCATTTTATATTCATTTAAACATTCTCTCTACCTCTTGTTTAAGAATAGCTTTACTTTATTTAACAGTGTCTTATTGGAAAATATTTAGCAAATATTTCAGCAGTGGATGAAAGAGATTCAGCTCAAAGACAGTCAAGTGTGTCTCTCATTAGGCAGAGAAAGAGAGATCCGAGAAAAATAAAAAAGCACTTAATACATGTGTGTGCATGTATATATTCAAAATCTTAAATTCTACTGAGACAGGAAAGTGGTTCTTTGTCATGCAGTAAAGCAAAACTTTTGCCTTTAAAGTACTGGGATAGTACTTTAAAAAAATTAAAGTGATGCTTTTTAGTAAGAAAAAATGATTTTTCAAGGCTGTCTTCAAGGCTGAAAATCAAGCAATTCATGCCTTAGACACACCATTTTAAAATAGTTATTACCAGAAAAGATATTTAAGCCTAAAATTTAGAATTTAACAGGATTTTAAGTCTGGGCATTTTTGTACTATTTTAAATAGATAACTTAAATTATTGATAATTCCACAGAGCCAGCAACTGATAGTGACAGTTTAAGCCATAGTGTCATAAGCAAACAGGCACATTAGCAAATTAAATAGTATTGCTTTGCAATGAATTTTGCCCTTTTTTATTTATATAAAAAGGTCAGGATTCATTGCAAAGCAATACTATTTACATTCTATTATTCTTCCACTGTGTGGCACTAATGGGAGTGCCATAGTAGTAATGGAAACACTGATATGGAAAAGCAAGTTCTGTCATGCCCAAAGGCTAATACAGGGTATTGCAAACGAGGTTCCTGGAGCAACACATCAAGGCATAAAATCTTACACAGCCTGTTAAGGTCTCTGAATGTTAAAAAAAAGAGAAATATTTTACTAAGTCTGTGACAACTAGAGTTTGCAAAAATTGCAGAATCATATTTTATTAAACAAGATGATATATAATAAAAGTTGTGAAATATAGAAAATTTAAGTGAAATATTTTCCCTGATAATAAATGTTTTACAGATAATGATACAAAGTGTAAACTCAGTGGGTCTGCTATAGAAGTGGACTTGGGCAAAGTGATTATCTAAGGTTCTACCGTCCCTGTATTGACAATTGCATCCCAAATCTCTAGTGGATCACAATGGATTCAGGGAGGAAGAATGCTATCTAATGAGCAGAATGCCATTAAATACAATCCAGTGCCTTCTTCATTTCTAAATAGATGTCTCTCCTCATTATGCACCTTCTTCCTTTTTACTCCTCCAGCAGTCTCTTTACTTTCTTATAAACTGCTTTTTAACTATGTTTGCATCCAACTAAATATTTTCACTGTTAGAAACTTCGAATTATATAAATGAGTCTTTAACATGGTTTCTCTTCTTTTACCACCATACAGAGTAGAATTTATCTTATTAATTATAGCATTAGAGCCCTTGTGACAGAATCTATTTTTCAATAATTATACACACACACAATTGCATATTTTGAATGCAGAATCCCAGAGTCTCATTTCTAATTCTGCAGGCATAGCCTGAGGTTGGTTAATTCAGCTTTCTTTAACCTGCCTCTGTCCACAAATTCTAGCAGACTGCCATGCATTAGAAGGGCCCTTGAGTTAGGGAAGCCTGAATTAATTAACCGTAAATTCTTGGAGCTCTCTGAGCTTGGTTTTTTGCTTGCAGACATTTTGTTACCTGACTAGGTGATAACATCAGTGCTAGTGAGTGTGGGGTTTGTTCCCTTTTTTTTATATAGTAGCTTGCCCTGCCAGTGTTGGTGGGGCTGTGGTTTTCTCCTTAGTAATTCCTTGATTAGGGTATTGCTTTTTGCTTGTTTGTCTGATGTTAATCCCTGCTTATCTGGGCGTTGGCTGGGGGAGAGGATGTGTTCTGGTCTTTTTGTTTCCTTCTTAGCTTTATTGTCTCTTTTGAATGGTGCGTAAATGTGGTTTATCTCTATGTATCTACTGATGGCTGATTGTCTGAATGCCAAGCTTCCAGGAATTCCCTAGTGTTTTTAGATTTAGCTTGTTCTAGGATGCTCAGAGTTTCCCAGTTGAAACTATGGCTGAATCTGCCCTTGAGTTATGAGATTAAGGAGTTTTTGTCATGTCTTCTAACTGCTAGTTGGTGTTCAGAGATGTGCACAAACCCCACACTCACTAGCACTGATGATATTACCTAGTCAGGTAATGAAACGTCTGCAAGACAACCAAGCTCAGAGACCACTAAGGACTCCATAGGTCAACCTGAGCTATAGATATTTTCTTCTATCGTAAATGTAAACTGAAATGTTTCTGTGGGTAGAGTTAAGAAACCTATGCATCTACTTACCTTATACAATGCATAGGCAGTTAATGCATTTCCACTTTGAGACTGCTTTAGAATGTTTATAATGCTTTCAGGCAACCCTATGAATTCAAGAAATGGAACGACATTTATTCCCCTGTGAAATAAAGACATATTAAGATAAATTACATCATTCATATTTCTGTAAACTTTTTTTGTGCAGCTATCAAAATGATTTTTATATTTGATAACAAACCACTTGTTTTTTCCTGGACTGATACAGAGTAGTGATTCAAGTGTCAACAGGTCATAAGGAGGAAAACATGAAAGTGCATAACTTGCAGAACATTTCCAGTTTTGAAATATTATTTCAATATCCTAAAATATGCTCCATGACCACTAGAAGTCTGGGAGGGTACTGTACGCGATCTATGGTACAGGTACCAAAGTAAATTTCTATATATATATTTGTGTGTATATATATGTATAAACATACTTAAATGGCAAAAATCTCACCAGATTGTCAATTTGGTATTTCAGGTGGGAAAACCAACAGCTTGGAAGATGTAGTGCTTTTGTATGGCTATGCTTATTTTTATTTAATTGGGGAGTCCTAAGGACATCACATGGAAGGGATCAAGCATGACATAGTACCTGCAGGTGCCAGGTTGATGATCTTTGGCTTATATAGTGGCCTTCAGAAGCATTTGATGATGCAGTGGTTTGCATTAAAAAGTTAGGTATCATTGCTCTAAACTTCTTGGAGCTATTTTACTATTGCCTTTTCTCTACTGTGATAACTCAAGGCCAAGATGAATGAAAGTGTTAGGCCGCAAGGGCAGACTATATGATTTGCATTAAAAGGATGTTGGAAGCCGTGAAAGTTAATGCTGAAATAGATAATACCAGGTTAAAAAAATCAAAATTCTTTCTTGCATATAGCAACTTCATTTCTAAACAAATCACACAATTAGTTAACATGTCTTAAGAGAAAATGTATTCAAGTTTTTCTGAAAAATATGGATTAAAGATTATCCTGAACATGTAGCCCCCATTCAGTTGTTCTGTTTCACTATTTGACAATATCAAAGACTGAACTGACTGAAAAAATAATTTGAATGCAAATACGAATGTATGGAACAATGTAAATCTTGTCTGATACACATGTATTCAGACCATATTAATTTATTTTAATTATTTATTTATTATTTTTAAAGCTAAAGAAAACAGCTATATGTGACTTTCTCTAAAAGCCAATTTTGTATGTAATACTATCTATAGTTTTTTTGGCATCTTTTCCAAATATATGAATTAAAATTGGGTATCAAATTTTGAGCCTAGTCCATTTGAGCCAATGGACATTAGCTGAATTCACAGAATACTTTCACCTGTGCCTCGGCAGAGTTAATATTGTTGGAAACTTTACTGGGTCTAACTCACAATATGAAAAATTCAAACAATGAAACAATTCTTGAAGTAAGGTCACAATTCCTACATGTAGAAATTTAACTGTTGTTCTCTTTGGAAAGGGGTGGTCATTAGGATAAGCAGCTACTATGGCACTTACTAGCAATGCCCAAGCCAAGATTTCTCAGCTTTAAGTAAGTTATAATGTTTGGATTATCATAGAAGAGGTGGAACAATTGGTGACTAGAAGCATGAGTCTCTGACATCAGAAGGTATTATAACTGTTTTAGTTATTCTAACCAGATGGCATCAAGTGCCCTTTCTAAAAGCAATAGGTTTAAATGTCATTCTAAATTTATTCCTTCTCAGAGTAATAAAGATCCAAACTGTTTAAAATTTTGTTTTAGTGGTATCCAGATAAATATTTATCTCCAGTTATTTCAGAAAGAATAAATAGCTGGTTTTTCTTAGATACTATTGGCATTAAGCACATTTAGTTACTGGCATTTTGAACTAGAAATTAATCAGATAATTTTGCCCAGTAAAATATACTTCTTTATCATACAGCTTGATATAGATTTAAACAAATCTAACGATCTAAATTGGGAAGTAAGAATACTGATGCTTGGGATCATTGTTCATAGTCTTAAATAAGATATTAAGTTTTAAATATAAAAAGAAGATTCAATATATTTAGGATCCTTCTTGTAGAACTTATATGGCAGGGGTTCCAATTTTATAAGACTGATATTTTAAACATTTACTAGTAACTCTCAGACTATGCATGCAAGCATGCAGCCAAAAATACTGAGCAAAGATCCTCTACATTAAGTTCACAGGGCATGGGGATATTTTCTTATGGTATTAGTCCGTACTACTTATTCTAGCTTCATCATTAACGTTTTTACATATTATACAATACAAGAAACTGCTCACCTTTTGAAATAAAGCTAGGATTGAAACAGAAAATAAAACATTAGAACTGCTATAAACAAATATTCTCCATTAAACAAGTACACCTTTCTATTTTATGAATAGACTCCCTCATATTGATACTGTTTTTTCATAAAATGACATCTCATCAACTGTCTTTTTACTTTTACTTTTAATACAAACACCTTATTTTTAAAACCTCATGTTTGTTTTATTGTGCAAAGTAAATACATACTTAATGCTGACTTTTTTTGGAAAAAATGCTGAATTTTTTTTGGAAAAATAATAAAGATAGTAGCGATTTAAAAATTGCTGTTTCTTCCTAACTGGTAGACCCAGGAACTAAATTTGGAGGGTATTTTTAACCCAACAGAAATGTGTTATTACAGAATTTGCCGGCCTGCTGGCACATGGAAATAAATGAGGGATGGCATCTAACACAGATTTTATTCACTACCCACAAATTCTACTTTCTACTAATCAGTAAAGTAGAACAGGAGTGAGGAAAGGGGACCTCTAACAGAAACATCAAATTTAATAAATTTAGGTAAGAAGATCACAGTGCAATTCTATAGATTTGTATTAAAATTCCCATTGAATTCAAGGGGCTATTGGTATAAAGTTACAACTTAAGTTAACCTATCAAAATCAACTTTATTTTACAGTATGAACAGACGCTTTATGTTTATTTGAGCTTCCTAGTCAGATAAGCTACAATTTCCTTAACATTTCATTACTTCTCTTGCATATCGATATGCACGGTTCCTTTTCTCATACAAAATCAAGTCTTTTCATAGCAATTGTTCAAGCAGGATCCCAGATTTCTGTTAATGTTTTAAGATTTTTCTAATTTTAATTATGATAGGCTCCAGTCTCTTTAATTATGCTATTCTCGGAGATAGCTAAGGCTTTCAAAAAGCAAAACAGTGTTTGTTAATTCTCAGCATTATGGCAACCTTTAATAACTATCCTGTGCTAAACTTGTTCAATCTATCCTTCCATTGAATGCTTGATCACTCAAGATAACATACACTCTTGTTTTGAAATGAAGCCCAGGATAGTGCTGCCTCTTCCCCACCTTTTCCTTCCTTCTGGTCCATCCTTCCCAAATCTATATACTCCTGACTGATTAGACTGATGCTCTCATGATTACCACTAATACAATAACACAAATGTACATATTTATTCAACTTTGCATTGCTTCTGAAACAGAACATCATTGCTTTTCCCAGGCTTTTAGGATTTAGGATTATAGAAAGTAGTATTTGTAATGGAAGGTTAATTTTTTAAGAAAAAAGTACACAACATGAACTACAACACAGAAATGATCATCTGTGTTCCAGCTAATATTTCTACACTTACTTTAAAGCTGCATAGTAAAAAGTTCCAAACCATATGCTGGAAGTGAAAAGATGCACTGGAATCAGAACTTTGCCATACTGTTTAAAAGTTTTCTTGAATCTCTGCACAAGACTAATTGATTTATCTTGTAAAGGGTCAAGCTCTACAGAACTGGGCTCTATAGGTGTTCCCTTGGCAAAACTACCAGCTGATGTGGTAAGATCTTCTCTGTTCAGTTCTTTATTGTGAGGGTCTTCAGGTTGGGAAGATGTCTTGCCCACGAAGCCCCCTTCCTTGGAAACACAAAGAGGAGCAGACATGTGTAGATTTTGGCTTTGGCAGCTGAGGACCAAGGAGATCGTTTTCTGTTTCATAGGATGTAAGAATGTTTTTTCTTTTATGCATGTAAAGATATAGGAGCGATAGGATAGCAGACAGGTCCTATATGCCAGCTGAAACGTTTTTTGCATTTTGGTCGACGGTAGCAGCATTGTGCTGATACTGTTGTATATTGCTCCTAAGAAATATTAACAGTTGAATTGTTAAATTAAGCAAAGAATTATCCCTGGTATCATAATTACAAAATAAAAGCAAGAAAAATTGAGTCACTGCTTTAATCAAATTGTAAATTATTATAATCAAATGTTGAGGTATATAATTTGCTAATCTGACTTATACAAAATCCACATGCAGTGCTTAGAAGTTTAAATGGTGAACAGTCCCTTTTTCCAAGAATTCAGTCTTCCTGATCTGGCTTGCTCATCTATCATTTATGTACAAATAACGTAGTAATACTACTCATTCTCCATATTTCATATAGTTCATAATACGAATACATAGATAAAATAGCATCAGAATCCACCCGCATTTAGTACTGAGAATTAAATCCAGCACATATATTGAAACACTTTTTATATTAAAACCTTTCACAGTTATTTCAGCTATAATGTCCTTGCACTTTATAAGGAATCGAAGAAGCCCAGGTATATGTAAAAGACCAAAAATGTTAATTATGTTCCACTGACTAATGCTTATGTTACACTTTAGTATAATTTGCAAATGTTTACAATACACTAGACACACCAACCTGAAGTTATAGCCTGCCCTCTAATGTATCATTTTAGCACTACAACTAGTGTTGTGAACTTACTTTGACCAGTATAACAACCTTTTCTCATATAACGATTTTATAATGGCCAAGTTACAGTGTAATTGTGGTTTTACTTTCTTTTTCCTAAACAACAATTGTATAACATTCTCTGAGCGATGTTAACCCCACCTCTAATTAAATATCTTAGTCACTCTGATCAGTTTTATTTAAAATCGTTACTTTCAGATTAAAATGATTCAATTTTCTTAAGTGTGACCAAATTTTGTCATGTAATACATAAGATGTGCAGCAGTTTGACTTATCTGTTTACCTAATATCAGTTTTAGGCATGCCATGTGTTTTATGTACTGGCCCATAATGGTTCAGCTTCTTCATCTAAAATTCTCTCTGTTTACATAACATGCATATGAAAGAGGGGTAGCCTCTTAATTTACATAATTGTATTCCAAAGTCAATATGTAGGTTATGTAAAGAATAATGCCAGCAATAATAATTTATCAAATATACCGAAGTAAAAATTGAACTCTTAGTTTGAACTTGAATTCAGATCAAAGTTATCTCTCAAAACTGGATTTAATTTGTTTTATAGACTTGAGCATTAAACATACCATGACTGAAAGTTCTATGGAAAGTCAAGTTATACATGTTCAAACCGTACAGAAAATGGTAATTAAAATCTTGTATTACTACTTAAATAATGCAGTCACTTCTTTGAACAAGTATCTTTCCTGCTTTTAGAAGAACATTCCAAAGTCCCAATATAGTACAGTCAGGCTTTCCATTGACTATCAGTAAAAAGTACCATAAGCAGGAGAAATTGCACAATGCTATCAATACTACATAGTACTTATTACAAGGATTAGAAAGATATTACAAAGGAAATTTACAATACAACTTATTAGCACCAGATAAAAGTCAAGTGATTTTTCTGTAATAAATTAACAGCACAAGCCATATCATCATCAGTTTGGTGGCATACAAAAAAGCCATCTGAATTTCAGAAATACTGAACTACTTCAATTCATTTTTATTAGCCATACTCAATTCCAGTAGGTTCAAATCACTTAGTTTTAAATTTAGTACTTTCAGCCCCTCACTTCAAACAAGTGATAACATTTATGGCTTATTTCCACTACATGCTAATCTTGTTGCCAATACAGAAAAATCCTGCCTTCAATTACATACCCATAATAATTCTGTCTTTAAAAAGGACAGCCAACAGAACTACAGAACCTAAGTAAAGCTTGTTGATCAACAGCATCACCCACAAGTTTGGAGCAGAAATACAATAACTTGAATACTTGAAAATCTTAAGTGCTCAAGTAAGTCACATTTAATTGTGAGAGGATCACTGGAAAGCACACACATACTCACTTGAAAGAGAATGATATACTATGCTGCCTTTATGTCCAAATATGTCATTGTCATCACATGATGACATGGATATAATATCAAAGGCTTATCTAATTTGACAATAGTTGTACAAAGAAAGCTACAGTGTTAATTTTAAGGAGAAACAATTCCTCACCAGTTTATAGCACTCTTGGAACCAAAAAATTGCCACTAGGGCAAAACATTGCAAATGTATTATACTGTTGGAGGAGAATCATAATCAAATCATTGTCTTCAGGTATGTCACGAAAGGTCACAGAGAATAGATCAGAACATTCCTTCAACAAAAAGGCTCTTCAGCTTCCAGTAAGAGCAAAACCTACAAAAAAAAGTAGACATTTTCAAAACTATGATAACAATGTCCACAAGTACATTATACAATAAATTATCTACTTTAGCTTCCATTGTAGACTAGGTCAGACTTGTTGTCAACTACAGTGGTACCTCTACTTACAAACGTCCCTACTTACGAAATTTTCGAGATACGACCAGCTCCGGCCCCAAAAATTTACCTCGACTTACAAACCAGATCCGTGGCCATTTGCCCTGCTGCCACGCGGTCGCGGCTTCCTGTGGGCGAGATCGCGGTAGCAAGGAGACATTCGGTGAAGCTTGTGGTGTGTTTTGTGGCGTTTTGGAAGGTTTGGGAAGATGTTTGGTGTGCT